GGAGCCCTGGGGGGAGGGCGGCGAGCCCCGGCTGGGGTTCGGCTCTCCCCCCCCCCGGCGGCCAGAGCGCTGCGCCGCCGCCCCCGTCCAGGTGCCGCCCCAAGCACCAGCTTGGGTGCCTGGTGCCTGGAGCCGGCCCTGGTAACAGAATATACCTAGATGCAACTTTACCAAATAAATTGTCTATTTTCTTCTCCTTAGCAATCACATTTTTTTATGGCAGGTTAATCTAAGACAAATCTCTTGCATGTAGCTATACTACAAATCAGCAAATAGCTATACTACAAATAAAGCAAGTGATTTAAAAAAGCATACTCTAATATACAGTACTATTATACCCGTGTAAGCTAAAGTAATAATAATGAACCAAAACTTACTTTCCCAAGGCAAAGCATTCCAGTTTCACAGTTGTTCCTTTTGCAGATGGAACAGTTTCTGGGACCTGCACTTCTATTTTTGGCTCATATTCACCCATCACCCCTGTGAACACATCATAGATGCTAAAGTGTGGCTGAATTTTTGTAATACATTCTCAAGTGTTCCTGCATTATCACAGAGCTGTTCTATACATCATTACTTGCCCAATTAATCTGCTCATTTAAAACAGGGCCTGTCTCTAACAGCCGAGTACTGTGGGCTCTCTTCCCATTTACTGCCAGAGGAAAATCTGCAATACAGCTCCCCTCCATCTGTTTAAGATTAAATTTCTTCATGGTTCCATTACTTTTTTGCTTTTGAATATTTAGTTCTTTTGCAGATATCTTGTAAAATAAGGAAAGAGATAATAAAGTAGGATCACCACCTTTTGAATAATGTAATGTGGAACAAATAGCCTCTAGAAAAAGTTTTAAAAGCACTGGGGGCTAATCAGGGCTCCTATTAAGGATTTAGATGCTCAGAGATTGTATACTGTACTAGTACTTTCTTGATCTTTAACTGCCTTATTAAATAATGTATCATGGCAGGATTTTTATGAAATTGTGTTTAAAAATTTGTGCACATAAAAAAGCCATTAAATTTATGATAAATTGCCACATTTCTACTGACTGCAGAGTCTTAAAACTGGTACATATAATTTCACTGATAGTGATTATAAACTAATTGATGATCGTAGTTTAAATCTTAACTGTTTCTCTCTGGGGGCCCACCATGCAGGACTGGTGTTCAAGGATGGGGGCAGTCCTGCAGTTTTGGGGATAGGGAACAGCACTCCTGATGAAGAAAAATGACTGCTACCAATACACACTGATTCAGAATTTGGGCAGCATAGGTTCCCACAGAGTTAATTCTGATGAGTAAATCAAATGTATTGAAGTAGTTCTGGTGGTCTTTTTTTCTTATCTGCTGTATTGCCATGTGTGTCACTGTTTTATAAAAAGTACTGCATGGTGCAAGTTTAATGAGAGGAAGAAGAAGCTAGAGAGGCTATTTGCTTTGCGTTTTCACAGTGGGATTGTTTTATATCAAAAATGCCCAGGATAAGTGTGTGTGTGGGCTAAGACATACATCAAATCCACTTTTACTTGACCTATGTATTATCTGTTCTGATACAAGAACAGGTTACATTACCTTCCTTCAATCCATTTGCTTCAAATGAGCATTGTCTGTACATTATATAAAAAGCAGCTGCCACATAAAATCAGTCATCTGAACAAAGTATGTTTGTTAACAATACGAATACACAATACTTACTACCAAAACAACAAGACACATAAAAGTATCAGGGAACTCACAAGTGAATGCCACTATCCTAGGCATTTCAGTCTGAATTATTAGGCCCAATACTTTTCAGCCTTTGGAGATTATAATATGGATGGGTCTGATAGTGCTGTCCATTATTAAGGCTGCCTGACAGTTTCCAATATAAGACCCTGTTTTCAGTTGCTTAAAACTTGCCCAAACGTCAACTGTTTGGACTAAAATTTTCTATTCTGGGTGTCTGCCTCAGGATGATTTTTTTGTGTTTGTTGATAACATCCGCCAAAATGGATTGTCTGTTTCCAAAAACAAGGCTAGAGACAAATACATAGGTTTTTTATGTTAAAAAACCTATGTATTTTGTTTGACCTTTTGTTTGAACAGCTCTAGTATGACCATGCTTTGGAGCAAAAACTTGAAATTTGCAGGGGCATGGGCCTTTGTATCAGGGATGTGCTGTTTGCAACTCCCATGAAAATCTGCCCAGATTTGGCCAACTTGAAAACCTTTGAAAAATCAGAATTCACACATGCTCCATTGAAGACTTAGATTTTAGCCGCTAAAACCTCTGAAGATTCTATCTGCATTGAGCATGCTCAAGCCTTTCACAGCTCCTAGTGCTTCCCAGACTGTGCATGAGCTCTACCCACACAGTGTTCGAGCACACTCCATCCAGCCCACAGCCACAGGGACGAAGTTGGACTTTTCCTGTAATTGCAACTCTCAGCAGCTCTGGCCTGTGGCGGGGTTGAGGACTGGAACTGAGAGCAGGGAGGTGGTCTGTCCTGCACTCTCAGTGACCCTGTGCTAATGTAACCCATGTGCCTAATAGGAGATATGCCTAATAAGAGATCTGTTGGGGGTGGTGGTGGTGGAGGAGGAAAGGAATGAGTTGTGTCTGGGTCATTGTTGCTAGGCAGATGCACAAATAGCTCTCCACATCCAGAAGTTCCTGGAACTGGGTGTGGTAGTTTTGGGCATGCTCAAGAAGTTCCCTGTTGCTGGAGTCAGACTCCAGGAGGGCAGGCAATTAAGACAGCTGCTGTGCAAAAGGCCACTTGAGCACTGTGTGGGTGGTGAGAAACTGAGCCACAGGCACAGAAAGCAGGCTGAAGCATTTTGCAGAATGTTAGCGCTATTGTTAACCTTCCAACAGGGAAGCCCTGGCAGTGTTCATTATAAAAAGAGGAAATTGGGAGGGAAAACTAATTTCTTTTGTTTTAATTGTATACTTTGAATGTTTAATTTTAGTCAAACTCTTTTAGTTACCATATATACTCGTTCATTAGCCCGTTCGTTTATAAGCCCACCCCCCAAAATGGATAGGTAAAAATAGCAAAAACTGTATGACCCTTTTATAAGCCGACCCTATATTCAGGGCTGGCTCCAGGCACCAGCTGAACAAGCAGGTGCTTGGGGCGGCCAAGGGAGAGGGGCGGCACCTGAGGCAATTCGGGGGCGGCAGGTCCCTCACTCCCTCTAGGAGCAAAGGACCTGCCGCTGTACTGCCGCTGCCGATCGCGGCTTTTTTTTTTGTTTTTTCTAATTGCCGCTGCCGATCGCGACTTTTTTTTTTTTTTTTGCTTGGGGCGGCAGAAATGCTGGAGCCGGCCCTGCCTATATTTCAGGGGTTGGAAAACTTTGGCTCCCAGTCCGTCAGGGTAAGCCACTGGCGGGTTGAGACATTTTGTTTACTTGGCGCGTCTGCAGGCATGGAGCCCCTCAGCTCACTGTGGCCGCGGTTCACCATTCCCAGCCAATGGGAGCTGCGGGAAGTGGCGAACCGCGGCCACAGGGAGCTGAGGGGCTCCATACCTGCAGACGCTCCAGGTAAACAAAACAACAATGTATTAGATATTCAATTCAATGATTCCATAGAGTTTAAAATCATCACATTTTGGTGTAGACCCATTTATAAGCCAACCCCTGGCTCTTTGATGTGTCACTTTTTTACCAAAAATATTCGGCTTATGAACAAGTATATACGGTAAATTGCCTCAACTAGTATGATTCACCAACTTTTCTTTTATATACATGTGATAATGGGGAAAGAGTCATTTATTTTGCTATTTTCAGTTTTGCATTTTTCTTGTAACAGGTTTTTTAAAAATTTATATACTTACCTGAGTGGTTGGTTAATTGGTTAGCTGACTAAGTAACTGAGTGATTTCAGCAGAGGAGGAGGAAGAGTCTGCATGAATTCCAACTGAAGATTTCTACAAGCAAGTAGAGCAGTGTTTCTCAAACTGGGGTTGCCGCTCGTGTAGGGAAAGCCCCTGGCGGGCCAGGCTGGTTTATTTACCTGGCCCGTCCGCAGGTCTGGCCGATCGCAGCTCCCACTGGCCACGGTTCGCCGCTGCAGGCCAATGGGAGCTGCTGTAAGCGGCGCGGGCCGAGGGACTTACTGGCTGCCGCTTCCCGCAGCCCCCATTGGCCTGCAGCGGCGAACCGCGGCCAGTGGGAGCTGCGATCGGCCGGACCTGCAGACGGGGCAGGTAAACAAACCGGCCCGCCCCGCCCCTACACGAGCGGCGACCCCAGTTTGAGAAACTCTGAAGTAGAGGGAAGTTGTTGCTTTTGACTCAGCAGACTGTATAGATTTAGTGACCTAAGATTCTAACTGAGACCCAGGTGAACTCCACCTAAGCTTGTGGAAACTCTTGGTTTCTTCTCACTATGTTTCTGTGGGGACTGTCCTGTTTATATTTAATTTATTTTCTTTATGTTTATATATAATTGTGAAGATAATGTATGTGGCTTATAAAGTAGCCATGTTCTGTTATAAAAATTAAGTTATTTATTATGTTTCTTTATAATAAGATTTTATAAATTTAGAAATTAAGCATAGAGTACATTGCTTTTGGACTTAATTGTGGGGAGGTTGACCCTGTGCAATCCTTGCTGAATGTCCTCCATGCTGCTGGGGTGCCAGTGTAACTTTTGGGTGGGCTCATTGCCTTTCTCCAGCGCCTAAAAAACCCAACTCCCATAGAAAAGCACCTGGAGACTCAGAATTCAGTCATGGAGGAAGAAACCATAGGATTCAAATGCAGAGGGGACAGAAGCTTGACCAGAGGTGAGGAAAAAATGCTTGGGACAAGGAATTTGGTGCCACTGGGACTGAAAGGGGGAGGGAATCTGTGACTGGCTGGGCAAGGAGATTGGGCTTGGGAACTGGTGAGGAGAGGGAGGGAGGAGAGTCTCGGGCTGGTTGGGCAAGGAAACCAGGATTGGGAGCCGGTGACAGAAATGAGCAGGACTGGGAGCCAGTTGGCTTGGGGAGGAACACTGAGATTGGACTAGGAGCTGGAGGGAGAAAGGGAGGCTGGGAATGGCTGGACAAGGTGACTGGGACTAAGATCCAGAGTAGGGGGGGAATGCACTGCTACCTGGAGTCTCTCCCAGCCTCAGCTCCTGACACACACCCTACACCAGTCTTACGGCTGTCCTCCATAATGCCTGTGCCGGGGGAATCCTTCCTAGACAGAACTGGGATTTTTAAGGCCCCCTTTATGCTACTAAGGCCCTTCAACCCAGCATAAAGGAGCCAAAGTGGTGGAAAGGATCTCAACCTCAGGTTTTCTACTGGTGGAGAGCATCCCTAGTCTAGCCTATATTTGGGGGGGGGGGGGGGGGGGGGAAGAGGGGAGGCTTCCTATTCTACCTCACCATAGACAGGAATTCTGCTACATGGTTCCATGTTTAATAATATGTACTTTACAGTAGATAGATTAATAACAGTTTAGTATATTTTAAGTAAAGTGGGAGAGGTACATTGTGAAATTTTCTCATTCTAATTGAAATTAGATGTAACTGGGACATTAATTGTTGATGAATTGGCCTCTTAGTCTGCTAATTTAATGATGCAGCGGTCTAATGAGAATAATATGTCATATATTAAGATGTACTGGACATGTCGGCATAAATCCAAAAGACAAGCAAGACATATTTGCCAGTTTAAATACAACGTGGCTATTCTGTGGTTTCCATTTCATTCATTTGTGCTCTTTATATTTCTGAAATGTGCTGTGTTTTTTCATTTGATGCATCATAACATGTTAAGTCCAGATTTTATTGCATCACTAACTGTTGTATTAGAAACTAAGTTGGAAATGATTTTAGATGTTGCCCACAATGTTAGTGACAAGCTTAGTTTCAAAATACAAATGTAGCACATCTTAAATATACTAATTTTTGAGCCTGGGGAAATCTGACCATATTTTGCTAAATGGACATTAGAGCACCTTTCCTGTTTAATGCAATGTTTTCCAGGGCTCCTTAGCAGTTCAATTAAAATTTCAAGTCCATAATAAACTCTAGAGTAAACTTCAAAGGAGTTGGAGTATGTTTGTGTGAAATACTTCAGGAAGGCAATTGGACCCTGTAAATATGATAGTGTGAGTGTGCAGAGGAACGATTTGCTAAGGTAAAGCCCTTGGCGATATGCTTCACAGTGAGTACCACTAGTAAGCATCATCACATTATGCTCCATTTCAAGAACAGCAGCATATACAGGGCCCAATCTTACTTCTGCTAAAGTCAGTGGAAGCAGAGCATGGTATGATTTGTGTAAAATATTGTTACTGAAGATCTTAAATAACATACAGGCTATGTGTATTCCTCATATGGAGCAGATGCTAATGGAAGACTTGACAGCTTTTAGCTTTCATCTTTTACTTTCATGCACTGGATAACCTGTACTGGATTTAAGGGCCAAATTCTGCTATCCATTACTCCACTGACTTCCTAAAGCCTCATTTAAACACTGCATGCAATCATGAAAATATGATTTATGTATCTACTCAAAAACTTAATGTGATACAGATCGATTTGCAGTATAAAATTAGAAATCTTTACTTCTTTTCCCCTTCTTGTACCACTCCTCTGACTACTAAAAATAGCATTCATTCTACTGGGAACGATTGCCTAAGCTAATAGCTGCAAAGTATTTGTGTGATCATTTTTGGGCTGTATAAAATGAGCAAAACTGCAGCATATCCACTAAAATCTGTTTTCTTCCCTGTCCTTGGTCGAGTGTCTCCAAGTTTGTATTTTATTTTACAACCATTCCATGCTCTTGTGGCATCTTCCAGTGACAAAGTATCTTTCACAACTACAGCTTTAAAAAATACTGATTTCTATGACATAGAACTGCAAACTGAGTCTGTGTATTCTTCACATCCTCAGTGGATCTTTAGAAAGTTGAGACTATTTATTTATCTTTACTCTGAATAAAAATTCAGTCCATTTCTTAATATTTGCGCAATGATTGCTTCACAAAAAAACATCAAACCAGATATCTTACCATCATTCCTCAGTATCAAAGGAGTTGGGGGGCCCAGCACTTTATTATTTGTTACAGTGTTTGTCACCACGCATGTGTAGTTGCCCACATCAGATGTTTCCACCTTTGCTATGTACAAATTCCCAGTCTCTTGAGAAACAAAGCGACGATTATCCTGGTGCACAAATGATGGGTATTCATTGAAGATCCATGCATAAGTCAGTTCTAGAAGTAAAAGGTATTATTAGTATTATTAACATAATGCTTTTTAAAATTTAAAATATGGTTCCATCCCAGGGCAGAACTGAAACTCTGAAAATGAATTTCTCCCTGTCTCTTGTACTTACAGTATGGGGACACTAACTCATAATGAAACGAAAAATTCTTGTTTGTACAATTATGGATATAATCTTCCATATGTGTACTGGTGCAGTACTGTCTTTCTGAGTCTTCAGACAGACAGCTTATAGCTCCAATGCCTCTGTTGCCCCTCAACTTTTCCAAACCAGAACAAAATGAAATTAACGAGAATTTCACTAATGATATTCTGAAACTGTCAAGAATCATGCCAATTTCACATGGCTTAGAAAAGTGATGAGCTGTAGGACAGGCAGGCACTGGAGCTATTTATGGCAAAGATGACTCAAGAGCAGCCTTGCATAAACTAGGAGGGCTCTGTAAAGAAGCAGAAATGCAGATAGTGAGTAACTTATAGAATAGAGGGTTCTCAGTACCTTGCTTCTTTTTCTGGACTATTCATTAATTTGGGTAAAAATAGTAAGAAAACCTGTCACATTTGGGTATAGATAATGTTGGTCTTGTTTAGTGGACTTTTATATCCATTACAATGCTGATTTTTGTGGGAATTCTTTGATTTATACCCAAAGGTTCCGTTTTTTAAACAATTTCACCAAAAATGTCAGCTTTGTATAAAGCCATCTGATTTTTTTTTTTTTTTAAATTAATAACCATGATATCCTGTACCTACAATAAAACATGTATGTAGTCTTAAAAATTTACACGTTAACACATTTAAAAAGAAACGGGTTAAAACTGAATATATTTTCCTCCTATACTGACCTATGTCCAGGCTTCTATTTTTCTCTTGCAAGTGTTGAAAACTTTAGACACAAAAAGTATAACACGGAATAATGCAGCTATTGCCATAGCATTTGGTCACGATCTTGCAAAGTTACCGTGCTGGCTGACTTTTATGCTCATGCAGAATTCCCAAGTCAAGGCCCTACAAATGTCTTTCTGCACTGATCATTTAGCAGGATCAGGCCTTCCACCATTATGCAAATGAAATGAACCATTGTCTTTGGCAGGGAAACTTACCTTGTAGTTCACCTTTAAGAACTGTTGAGGACCAGTGGACAGTGGACCAGCTTTCACAAGCAAGTTCTACATCTTCGCTTCCAAAACTGCGCATCAAAATTGTGGGTGACTATGTTTGTATGTGCACATAACTCATTTGGATCCACATCCATTTATTTGAATTTATCAGCCACCGTATCGCAGAGAATTCAGACTTAATGGTTTGACAGGTCAGGAAGCTTTATCACACAGAAACAAAGTGTGGAACAATTGTTATGCCTTTGTCACCAAGAACATGTCTGTAACAGGGTGTGCTGACTCAGGAGCTAACTCAGCACTCTGTCACTCAAATCCCCATCTGTTTATACTAACTGAGTTCTGATTGAAAGACAGGCAGTTGACGGAAGAGGATAATTAACTGAATGGGGATACAGCTGAGTGGCTAAGTGGGTAGAAGCAGCCCCAACAACTGGGCCCATATAAGCAGACAGGAAGGAAGGGAAGCAGGAAGAGTTGGGAGCCTGAAGGAAGGCAGAAGTAGACAGGACTGACTGTTTCTAGTAGTACTGCTCCCTTTGCTAGAAGCAAGTGGGGAAGCCGGCTATGAACTGTAAATAGATGTGAACAACACTATATGCCGTGGCCTGCTGGAAGAATACAATAAATAAAGGTGGTGGTGAAGGAGACCTGAAGAAGTTGTGGTCTGTGGCCTGAAAGGACTCTCAGGGGACCACCCCATGACAATCTCATTTTTCCTGAGTCATGAAGAATACTCTTAACTTTATTTCTTCTTTCCTTTCAAAATAAATTATGGTGGGATCTGCCTTACTCTGTTCTTGTGAACTGTATGGTTTTATACTTTGGAATTTTTTAATACACTAAATTATGTAGCTATAATCTTTAATGTGACTAATTAGATAATACTTTAATTTATAACATGCCTTTGCGAAAGGAAAAAAACAGTGAGAGACATACTGCATACTCTGATTGCAGAGTTCATAACTTAGATTAATGTAATATAACCCCATTATATTTGTCTAAGACTAATACCCAAACACAGAAAATGTTTGAGAAATTACAGTAAGGAAAGATCACTGTAGCTTTGTAAAGGGAACATTAATTATAGTAAACAGCATATTCCTAGTTTAATACTCTAATGAGCCATAATTGTAATTGACCTCAAGTACTGTTATGTACTTTAGGAAATACAGTCTGTCCTAATGTTCCAGTGTTTACACACATAGGAGGGGGTATGCAGATTGTTGGGTTTTTCATTTTATTTATTTATTTATTTATTTAATGACAGGATTATAAAATGTCTGCTTAGACTTCTTGGAAGATATAATTATGTTTATGTGGGAATATCTAATCATTGTATTTACACATGTGCATCTAATTATAAGTAACCCCATGCTGATGTCAAGAGGATACTTTGAGTAAACAAGGTAGCACTTCTCAGCAGGCTTATTATTTTCTGCAAGTATTTAGATTTTTTTTTAATTTACTCTTGGTGAACAATTAACTTGTTTCCCCCAGAAGCATCCAACAATAGACAAACATTTCTGCTTTAGAATGCAAAGAGCAGCTTTTAGCTCTGAGTGAATCTCCACAGACCTTGGTCCCCCCAGCAAAATAAGGAAAAGCCTAAGACAAAAACGTTATGTAGTAACTACAGCACAGTCAATTAATAACGTTCTCCACAATTTGTTTGACTCTGATTCAGTGTCAGTTTAGAAACCCTGGGCAAGCAGATTGCAAGGGGGAAGAAGGCTGTGTGGATGTTATATGCAATGGGGAAGACTGATTTAAAAACCAACTAGTGATTTTGAGTACTTCAATTATTGGGAGACCATCTTGAGGCAATTTAAAGTGGACAAATTTTCAGAGGATGGATGCTCAGCACTTTCTGAAAATCAGGTTCCTTTAAGTTGTCTCAAGTTGGGTTTCCCTCCCTCACCCTCAAAAAACAAAAAGAGGAACCCCAAATCACTAGCCACTTTTGAAAATCTCAGCCCTAATAAAGATCTAATGATTTAGTAACTCTGCCTTATTCTGATTCTAATACAGTTACACTGCACAGTACTACAGCTATATGACTAACAACTGCTGTAGCTATAAGGCATGAGACAGCATTACCACGTCAGCTGTGCTGTGTAGTATTTAAAATAACTGGGTGATACTATTAAGAGTTCTAATTTTTTTTGTTCTAAAATAACTGGGGACTTTTTATTATTGTAGAATTACAGTGAGTTTGAATCAAGTGATATAATAAAAAGGATGGGAAATAAAGCAGACTGGAGAAGCCTTAAGTACATTTCCTTGTGTAGCAATACATAAACACATACTGTACCATACTCAATTTGATTTCCTTAGAGATCCCTGTGCAATATTTATGTCTTTTCAAACTTGACAGATTTCTTTTGATAAGGTTTCACATACTAATTGCTCTGGAAGTGACAGACAGTTCCTGTCCCATAGGCAATTTGTAACATCTGAGTAAACAGACACTTAAAATACAGAACGAGATAGCATTTGGTGATTCTGGTGGGTGATTGAAACACTTATGTGGGTTATAACAAGGTGCCTTACAGTGTAAAGGTTGTACACAGACTATGCCAGGTATCCTTTGAGGACTTAACATGATGTTCTGTTTTCTAACTTGGGTTCTTATGTAATTTTGGCTAACAGACAATGTTTTACTACACTGCAGAAAATGTTTTATTTGCCTTTTTAAAATACATTAAACTAAGTCTCTTACATGTGGTGCACTATTTTACACATTTTGACCCAGATTTGCAACTGGTGAAAATCTGTGACGCTTGATAGGTTTTCAGTCGATTGATACCAGCCGAGGAGCTGGCCCTTTATACATAATGTACCATTTTTCCCCTAGGGAGATGCACTTTCCACGTGGGGAGGTGCTTTGACTGCATGCATTTCCAAAAGAGATAAAGGTGTGTCAAAAAAATCTAAAAGACTGCTGGCAAATTCACACTTTGGCAGGGTTTTCAAGACTGGACAGAGGAAAACTGCTATTTCTGAACTTTTAAGGCATGATCACAGGCTTCCACAGCTTTTTAAAATTCACTGGATTCAGGACGTTAAAGAAGAAACTTTTTTTACTATACTGTCCATGTTAAGAACTTTTCCTTATATATACACACACGTATGCTGCTGATCAAGGAAAACTGGTGGCGTTAGCTTACTCTGCTGTTAGTGCTTCTGTACATACTTGGGATGCTCAGTGCCATAGCAGTAAGCTTATCGCACACCAAGAGAAGGAAAGCAGATTTCCTTTTGTCAAAGAATGAACCTCTTTGTGCACCAGGTCAGAAGACACTAGGATCTGCTCTAAGGCTCTGGAGCCATGAAGCAAAGATAATACAGATATGGAAACAGCATGTTAAAACTCTGTAATATCCCTCAGAATTCAAGGGAGCCCTGGGTAAATTCAAGCACAGGTAAAGACTGGTGAAGCGAAAGGTGGGGAACACATTAGGTTGTTGAGAGAAGCTTGGTCTCACTCTGGCTAAAATAAATGGTGGAAGAGAAGTGCAGAGACATATAGTCACAGAAATGGAAGTCATATAAACATATGACAGAGAAATGTACCACACAGTAGTACCTAAGAATGTACTTCATTTAGTTAGCCATCAAAATTCACCAACAACGGGAAATACCATAAGCTTTTAGGGAAAGCTTGGGCACACAGCGATAACAGAGAACATGTTAACATTATTAGTATTAATATATTTAATTTTATGTTATGGATTAGTGATCAGCACTGGTATGTGATAGACTGCATGCTATAGGTGGAATATACATTTCAAACACATCCATCTAAGGCAGTGGTTCTCAAGCTTTTGAACTGGTGATGCTTTTCACATAGCTAGCCTCTGAGTGCGACC